GAGGAGATCCTGGCTGAAGGGGTGGAAGATGAAGTCTCTCCTTTCCTCCCTCTCTCCTTGTCTGCTCCCTCTAATGGCACCACATCTCCACAAGAGGTGGGCGTACCGAAGCTCTGCAAGACCAGGATGAAAGCTTTACAAGAAGCGAGCTACTACAGTGCAGAACATGGCTACCTGGATGTCACCATGGAGCTACGCGCTATGGGTACCGCTCAGACTGGATAAAATGAATATGGGTGAGTTTCCTACTGCGGCAGAACCAAAAACTGTTTCGCTTGCTCCCTGATTAGGTGTACCATGGAAACTACATGTATGGCTGGAGTCTCTACGCTGTGCCCAGCAGCAGTCCAGGACAGGTGTCATCCTATCCCTCCTCAGAGAGTTCACCACAATCCGAGAAGAGGACTACTGCAATGAGCTCATCACCACAGGCTTACCTCTTATGTTCAGCATTTTGCGGACAAATAAGGTACGGTCAAACTAAACCAGACTGTTTTCTACTCTTCATGTTGTAGAAACAAATAATCAGTGATTTAATTCCTTCCTTCTGTTCTTTTTTTGTTTGTTTTTTGCAGAATGATGCCATTCTGCAGCAGCTGGCAGCTATTTTTAGTTACTGTTTTGGCACAGCACCTCTCCCAGCCATTCCGGAGATGAAGGCATCTCTTTCAGCTCAGTTGGGTAAGAAATAAAAACAGAAATTCTCCAGTTAAATCAATAAATGTTAATATGCTGTCTTATTTTGTGGTGAAAAGGAACAGAAATTAATGACATTCAATATTATAAAAAACATGAATTATGATGGTGTTGATCAATTTTTTTTTTTTTTTTGTTTTTTGACAGACCCTCATTTTTTAAATAACCCGGAAATGTCGGACGTGACATTTCTAGTGGAGGGAAAACCGTTTTACGGACACAAAGTCCTGCTGATCACCGCCTCTGACAAGTAAGAAAACTCAGTGTTCACTCAAAGTAAAGAACTAAAAGACTTACCTTACAAATGTTTTTCTCAAGGTTTAAATCCCTGCTAACATCTTCTGGACCAAATGGAAGTCCGAACAAACAGATAGAGATCCATGACGTCAAATACAGCATTTTCCAGGTGTGGAAAACACGACATCATCTATGACCAAACACAATTACATAAAGTTGTATTAGCTGCTAACATTGACCTTGTTGACAGATGATGATTTCATACTTGTACTGCGGGGGGACAGATTCACTGACGACCAACGTGCCTGACCTGTTAGAGGTGAGAATCACTGCAGGGACCTGATATAAGCACTCACCAATTTTCTGAATCACACAACTGTTTGCATGCTAATCTAAGCTTGAAACGCTCTTTAAAAAGTTCATGCAACATTATTTCATGAACTGTGGTCAGTTTCTCACTACCTGGCTATTTTTGCTGAAATCTAAAAGGGATATTCCAACACAGAGTAAAATTTTGTCTGGTGCCATATTCCCCTTAGATAAGTGTGTGTGTGTGGGGGGGGGGGGGGGGGGGGGGGGGAACTACTCGGCCCAGTCATTCTCCTTTAGCTTAGCATAAAACACAATAAGTGAATGGTACCAACTAGTTCTGTGTGTGGAAAAAGTAATTCAAATGACTCCGAAGTGATTACAATTCTGCTTGGTGATCTCAATAACCATACTGACTGCAATTAAAAATAATGCAAAGGAATCATAGACTTTAGACTACTTTACAACAAAGGTCCGGTGAAACGGGACCTATTTGAGCTTGTAAAAGAGCAAGCATTGCGCAGTTAGCGATGGTGTACAGCAGGGGGTATCCAATTCCGGGCTTGGAGGTCCAGTATCCAGCAGGTGAATCAAGTGTGTTTAATCAGAGAAACCACTAAAACGTGCTGGATACCGGACCTCCAAGACCGGAATTGGACATCCCCGGGTGTAAAGGTTGAACCTGCAGAGGTAGCAAACGCAGAGGGCTGCATTCCACTTCTGAAACTGAATGGCTTCTGTTTACACTTTGATCTTTACTCCAAGCAGAGGCTGCGTAGGAAACAATGGTTAAGCGCAATTATTAAAATGGCAAAAATGTCCAGTAAAAATTTGAAAGCGAAGCCTTTTCCTCATTAGAAAAAAAACAATAATGTTGCCTTTTTCCATGTTTAATCTTGTGAAACCTTCAGACTCATTGATTACTGCTCAAAAACCAACATACATTTTCTAAATGATGACAAGGCCGGATTACCCATATGTGCAACTGGGCAATTGTCCATGAGCTTTCTAGGGTGACCATACGTCCTCATTTCCCCGGACATGTCCCCTTTTCACTCTCTGTCCGTGCATCCGGGGTGTGTGTGTGTGTGTGTGGGGGGGGGGGGGGGGGGGGGGGGTCTTGTATTGATGAAAATGTCCAGTTTTTCATCCAGGAGCAGGGATCGAATTATGGGGCAGCCAGAAAAAAGTTTTCTACCTATATTACATCATTTATGGACTCTTTTGAGCAGAGGGCAGAGAGAGTGGCAGAGCGCTGATCCACTCCAGCGTATGGTCTATTCTCAAAGTGGCGCAACCAAAAAACTAATTAACTAGTTAAAAATAATTAACACACGATTGTTCATGTCCGCACATGTTCTCTACTTTCTGTAGAAGCCTCTGTGTATTTCATACCCTCTCCAGTATTGTTAGTTATACAGTGTTTGTAAAAGCCCCTCAGACATGACTGACATGTTCTAATATTATCAGATGAAAAACTAAATTATCAGACATGCTTCTCAGCTGCTGCTTTTCTAAACTTGCAAAAAGTAACAAAACCATTTGAAAACCACTATTTGTGAATTCTCTGAAAGTTTCCATGGAGAGTGTGACAATTTATTTTTTCATTGATCCTATCGTCTAATCTCACAGCTGAAACAAGCATCCTTAATAATTGTGCACAGGAAGCTTACGATGCTGTAGTAAAACAAAAGGTATAATAATTTATTATTAATAAAACCTTGTTGCAGCACTAAAGCAGCAGAAAAATGAGATTTTGCAATAAATAAGCAAAATATTTATGTATAAATTGTTTTAGAGCCCTTTTATTGACAGAATCATTGTTTTAGAGCCCTTTTATTGACAGAATCTGATTAATTTTAGTTCTTACAAAAAAATGGGTTGCAATGTGGTTTGTGTGGCGTTGCCGTAGTGTGATGTCATAGGCACAGATCCCCTGTCCTCTTGTTTGGAAATGGAAAAATGATCACCTTATATTAAACAAACTGTCCACCCGGGCTTTTGCGCTGCACAGAGACGCTTCGCTGCCTACAACTCTGAATGTCAGTTTAGAGTCAGTCTCATGCAGACTGACCAATGAAGAGAGGGCCTCAAGTTAAGACCCTCTCCTCATTGGTCAGTCCACACAAGGTGTATGGCGTTTAAAGCGTGCCACAACCCGTGCACGCACATTGGGTCCACAGCGTGTGAACGGGACTCGCGAGCGGAAATATACATGGCGAGAGGTCATTTGTGCACTGAGAGGGAGCAAACTGTCTGTGAGCGCACAAGGATGTGCACAAGTGACAAACCTGCGTGTGCGCGTTGTCAACGAGCACACGGCAGAGGAAAACGTGCTGCGCGCGGCAGCCTCTGTGCGCGCTCGGCAGCCTCTCTGCGCGCTCGGTTTCTGACTCCTGCTCGCTCGGCTGTAAGGGCTTTTGGCACTCTGGAGACGTGGCCTGTGGCAGATCTTCTCCATCCTCTGATTGGTTAGTTTACCCCACACTTTACCCTCTATGTATATAAAAAAGTCTGATATTCAGTAGTTGCTGGCATAGCTCAGCTGGGAGAGCGGTGACTCTTGCCCCGGAGGATCCAGGTTCGAGTCCGGGCAAGGAAAATGCAGTATATGTCATGTTAACTTTTCTTAATTTCAGGTATTTTACAGTTGTGACCGTTCAACTGTCATTAAACGTCCGAATGTTTGCTGGGCAGTGTTTTAAAAAGTGCACATAAGCTAGATGGTTTTAACCATATAAAATTACATTTTTGTGATACTGGAAAAATACATACTGAAATAAAACTACTGGTTGAAAACTTTATGACTGTGTTGTACAATATACAGGTGCTGGCCAGTAAATTAGAATATCATCAAAAGGTTGAAAATATTTCAGTAATTCCATTCAAAACGTGAAACTTGTACATTATATTCATGCAATGCACCACAGACCAATGTATTTCCAATGTTCATTACATTTAAATTTGATATTCATAAGTGACAACTAATGAAAACTCCAAATTTGGTATCTCAAAAATTAGAATATTCTGAAAAGGCTGAATATAGAAGACACCTGCTGCCACTCTAATCAGCTGATTTACTCAAAACACCTGCAAAGGCCTTTAAAAGGTCCCTCAGTCTTGTTTTGAAGGCACCACAATCATGGGGAAGACTTCTGACTTAACAGCTGTCCAAAAGACAATCATTGACACCTTGCACAAGGAGGGCAAGACACAAAAGGTGATTGCTAAAGAAGCTGGCTGTTCGCAGAGCTCTGTGTCCAAGCACATTAACAGACAGGCGAAGGGACGGAAAAAATGTGGTAGAAAAAGTGTACAAGCTCTAGGATAACCGCACCCTGCAGAGAATTGTGACGACAAACCCATTCAAAAATGTGGGGAGATCCACAAAGAGTGGACTGCAGCTGGAGTCAGCGCTTCAAGAACCACCACGAGGAGACTCATGAAAGACATGGGATTCAGGTGTCGCATTCCGTGTGTCAAGCCACTCTTGAACAAGAAACAGCGCAAGAGCGTCTCGCCTGGGCCAAGACAAGACTGATGCTGAGTGGTCCAAAGTTATGTTTTCTGATGAAAGCAAGTTCTGCATTTCCTTTGGAAATCAAGGACCCAGAGTCTGGAGGAAGAGCGGAGAAGCACAGAATCCACGTTGCATGAGGTCCAGTGTAAAGTTTCCACCGTCAGTGATGGTGTGGGGTGCCATGTCATCTGCCGGTGTTGGCCCACTCTGTTTCCTGAGGTCCAGGTCAATGCAGCCGTCTACCAGGAAGTTTTAGAGCACTTCATGCTTCCTGCTGCTGACCAACTTTATGGGGATGCAGACTTCACCTTTCAACAGGACTTGGCACCTGCACACAGTGCCAAAACCACCAGCACCTGGTTCAAGGACCATGGTATCCCTGTCCTTGATTGGCCAGCAAACTCGCCTGACCTTAACCCCATAGAAAATCTATGGGTATTGTGAAGCGGAGGATGCAATACGCTAGACCCAACAATGCAGAGGAGCTGAAGACGACTATCAGAGCAACCTGGGCTCTCATAACACCTGAGCAGTGCCACAGACTGATCGAGTCCATGCCACGCCGCATTACTGCAGTTATTGAGGCAAAAGGAGCCCCGACTAAGTATTGAGTGCTATACATGCACATTCTTTTCATGTTCATTCTTTTCAGTTGGCCAACATTAGAGAAACAAACATTTTTTCATTGGCCTTTAGAATATTCTAATTTTCTGAGATACCAGATTTGATGTTTTCATTGGTTGTCACCTATAAATATCAAATTTAAATGTAATGAACTTTGGAAATACATTGGTCTGTGTGCATTGCATGAATATAATGTACAAGTTTCACGTTTTGAATGGAATTACTGAAATATTTTCACCTTTTGATGATATTCTAATTTACTGGCCAGCACCTGTATGACTCACTAATACACTGCAAACTCCTGAGAGAGAGAGAGAGAGAGAGAGAGAGAGAGAGAGAGAGAAGAGAGAGAGAGAGAGAGAGAGAGAGAGAGAGAGAGAGAGAGAGAGAGAGAGAGAGAGAGAGAGAGAGAGAGAGAGAGAGAGAGAGAGAGAGAGAGAGAGAGAGAGAGAGAGAGAGAGAGAGAGAGAGAGAGAGAGAGAAAGAGAGAGAGAGAGAGAGAGAGAGAGAGAGAGAGAGAGAGAGAGAGAGAGAGAGAGAGAGAGAGAGAGAGAGAGAGAGAGAGAGAGAGAGAGAGAGAGAGAGAGAGAGAGAGAGAGAGAGAGAGAGAGAGAGAGAGAGAGAGAGAGAGAGAGAGAGAGAGAGAGAGAGAGAGAGAGAGAGAGAGAGTGAGAGAGAGAGAGAAGAGAGAGAGAGAATCTTGCGTCATGATGTATTGATTCAGAGAGAGAGAATTCTAGCCTCAATAATATTGCCTTTCAAATAATTATCAGATTAATTAAATTGTTACATAATTGTCCATTTAGAATTGTTAAATGGACTGAGTAAAGTTTGGTGCACTTTATATATTTCAAAACATGTTTTTTTTTTATGATGCATATAAATAATTTAAATGTTAATTTAATGAAATATTTCTATTTTTTCATTACCTCACCCTTGTTTTGACAAAAACGGAACCTTGCTGGATAATATCATGGAGAAACTATTTGTTCACAGTACATGGCTCAGTGAGGATCTGTGTAAAGGAGGAGATGCTCAGAAATCTGTCTGCAGATTGTTACAACCCAGAGTGGAAGTGGTGGGCTGTAATAAGAAAGGAGACCAAACAGAGGAGTGGGGGTTCAACAACTGATTTATTTAACAAAAGTAAGGATTTACTAAAGCAAGTTAGTGAACAGAAAATGGCCAATGAGTACTCTGCAGAAAAACAGTAGGCTTTGTAGGCAGCACCACACCCTGAGCCCAGGTGCCTCCAAGGCTGCTTAACGAGCTGCCTACAACAGAAGAAAAACACAATTAAACACAAATGAAAACCCAATGAGATGGTGGGGGCATCACAACACGTTCAGGACTACCCAAACACCAGTAATTCTTGACTGCACTGATCTGCTTTAGTAAATCCTTACTTTGGTTAAATAAATCAGTTGTTGAACCCCCACTCCTCTGTTTGGTCTCCTTTCTTATTACAGCCCACCACTTCCAGTCTGGGTTGTAACAATCTGCAGACAGATTTCTGAGCATCTCCTCCTTTGGTATACAGATCCTCTTTTAGCCAAGTACTGTGAACAAATAGTTTCTCCGTGATATTATCCAGCAAGGTCTTGTTTTTGTCAAAACAAGGGTGAGGTAATGAAAAAATAGAAATATTTCAATAAATTAACATTAAAATTATTCATATGCATAAAAAAAAACATGTTTTGAAATATATAAAGTGCACCAAACTTGACTCAGTCCATTTAACAATTCTAAATGGACAATTATGTAACTCATCAATTAATTATTTGAAAGGATAATTTGTCAATTAAATGCTGAAAAAAATAAACAATACATTAATGAGGCAAGAACTTTTTAAACTTGAACATACCTACACCCACAAGTCTATTTTTACCTGGTTTAAACCATCTAGCTTATGTGCACTTTTTAAAACACTGCCCAGCAAACATTCGGACATTTAATGACAGTTGAACGGTCACAACTGTAAAACAATATCACAGGAATTAGGAAAGAATAATATGACATTTACTCTATGTTACTTGGCCGGACTCGAACCTGGATCCTCCAGAGTGAGAGTCACCCGCTCTCCCAGCTGAGCTATGCCAGCAACTGCTGAATATCTGATTTTTTTTATATAGATAGCTAGAGAGTAAAGTGCGGGGTAAACTAACCAATCAGAGGATAGGGAAGATCTGCCACAGGCCACGCCTCCAGAGTGCCAAAACTCCTCACAGCTGAGCGAGCGGAATTAGGAACCGAGCGCGCAGAGGCTGCCGAGCACGCAGAGAGGCTGCCGCGCGCGCATGTTTTCCTCTGCCGTGTGCTCGTTGGCAACGCGCGCACGCAGGTTTGTCACTTGTGCACATCCTTGTGCGCTCACAGACAGTTTGCTCCCTCTCAGTGCACAAATGACCTCTCGCCATGTATATTTTCGCTCGCGAGTCCCGTTCACACGCGCGCTGTGGACCCAGTGCGCGTGCACGGGTTGTGACACGGGTCTCACGCGATAAAGGTGGGTCAAAGGTTGCCCTGAGCGGGTTACGTGATGTCAGGCATTCAAGTATTGAGTATATTTACTGCATATTACAGTAAAAAATTCTGTATGTGACCACATTATGGCGATCCTTGGGTCGTGATGACGGGGCCCTTTAATATTGTTGCCCAGGGTACAACAAAGTGTTAATCTGGCCCTGATAACAATGAGTTAATTTTTCAGTTTGTTTTTTAGCTGCTGTCAGCTGCTCATGTGTTCCAACTGGGGGCGCTGCAGAGACACTGTGAGCTCACCTGCTCTCAGCATATAAACCTGGATAGCGCAGTCAGCATCTATAGGACAGCTAAGGTAAGGTATACGTTGAAAAAGGTCAGTTTCTAAATAAACACTCTGCTAATAAACTTCCCCTGTCCTTTTCTGATCAGGCCCACGGCTCAGCACAGCTGTGCTCCTTCTGTGAGGGTTTCTTTCTGCAGCACATGCCTGCACTACTAGAGAGGGAGGCCTTCAGGACCCTGTTACTGGGACCTCCTGGAACTCGACAAGGGAACAGCTCGACCTCTTCTTTGGCTCACAACCGCAGTGACTCACCTCTAGAGGAGCTGGAGGCCACCCTGGCACAGCGTCTACACTCTTTGTACATTTCATCTCGAGTCTGAGAAGCTGCAGGAAGAAAACACAAATAAATGATTTCAAATCCCAACTCAGGAGTTCACGAGGAGCGATTTAAAATCTAATGTAGACTTTACAGCATCTGATTACTCCTAACATTTCAGTGTTTACTAGTGTGTGCCAAGCACTCCATCATGAGAGACGATGTTTCTAAAGAAAGTTGCTCAATGTGTTTTTTCCCCTCCGAGGTGCAGGAAGCTTATGTGGAAAAGGGAACTGGAAAACTGCTGCCATCTACTGGACAGAACAGACTTGACTGAAACTTTAAACATCAAAAAGTACACTTGTTTATTTTTAAAGTGTGATTTAGACAAGAGTGCAGAATGGGATGGACATTTTCTATTTAACACAAAAATGTGAGTATTTAATGGTGAGATCCCCTTTTTATTATGTTTTAATTTGTTCTTCGCCCAAGCAAACTACATGTTAATAAGCTTATATATTCTGAGTTTTAATGTATCCAACTCAGCCACAGCAGCAGATCCCAGCATGGGATTAGAACAAAATGTTTGTTTTAGTTGTTAAATATGAAATAAAAGATGCAAAGTACTTACCAGCTACTTGTTAGCATGGCGTGGAGTGTGGATTTGCCTGAAAACAGCAGACTTGCAAGAATGGTCTAATTACACATGCTATAAACATGTAACAAAGCACTGTAACTGAATGACTTTATTTGTTTCAGCACTGGAGATGCTCACAGTTTTATATGGGGAGTTACATCAGAAAGTTTCATTCCTGCTCTGTTAAAAGACCCCACTGGGCCTAAAATCATTGAATGTCCTTAGTGCTGCGAGTTTTTATAGTAAACAGAAAGGAGGGTGAACATCAGGTATTGCTTTTGAGTTTGTAGAACTGGTTTTTCCTTCCTGTGCCACTTTAACCATCAGGTAGAGAGAGCCCAGGCCTCACAGCCTTCCACAGAGAGGTACAGAGTAAAGGAAGCATTGTTTAAAAAACATTGTGCACAAGATAAGAGGAGGGTAAAATTAGCTGGGCTGAACAAAAAAAAATAAAGAAAAACATAAAAGCTTTAAAGGTAGATTTGGAGCTTGAGAACCAATGAAGGCTGAGAGGAGGAGTGAGTTTGGCATGGGACATCAACACTAAAGCCATGCAAAGAAAAGCTCATGTTTGACATGCACACAGCAATAACAAGCTATAAAAGCATAGAGCAGGAATCCCCAGCATGATCGAGAAGACAATCAACCCACACCACACCCCCCACAGCTCGTCTGTATTTACAAAGAGAAGGCTGGCGTCCTCCTCAGGCCTGGCGTACACGCACAACAATATGAAACTGACAAATATCAATTGAAGAGCATATTCCCTCTCCAAAAAAGGCTAAATCTACATTCTTAAATGACTTGTCGTTTTTTTTTTCTCTCCCAGAGTTCCCACAAGTTCTTATTTCCTCTTCAGCGAGGCCTGGAAATAGAGAATTTTAGTTAAAGTTCACGTAATTCTGTTCAAGTCTGAACAAAGCAATTTAAATAAAAGGACTTTTCTTTAAATGTCCCATTTACAAACACACAAAAGGGTAGTAAATGACATTCAACTGACCTAACAGCGTTGTTCATATAAATAGCCAAGTTATCATAAATTAGGAATCAAACGGTGAGATGGACAAACATGAATAAATAAGGACAACAATACAAAAATATCCACAATTGCATTCATCACATTTTTTTTTTGGGGTCCTCTACTCCTACTGCTGGTATTTGAGACTTGGAGAGAGGTACAAACAGAAAAAAACCCAAAGTGCTGCAGATAACAGGAAACAGGAATGTTTGAATCATTTTCAGGTCAGACAAATTATCATGTAACAAAAATACACTCAAGAACTTAAAATAACGGAACGCGGCAGGTTTACCAACCCGTTCTATGGTATCTAAACAGTGCCACAACTAGACATTTCATTCTTTTTACATTAGAAATAATCGGTCTGTACAACAGAATAAATCATTCATTTTAAATACCCACAAAACCACCCCCATACCCTAGACTCTCATTTTAACTCCCCCAGCTGCCCTCTGTCCCATTATCCTGACGTCCATTATCACAATTCCAGTCCGTGTTGCAGCAATAGGATCAAGTCTAACAAAATCAGTAATTCAAACCCAGTTCATCACAATAAAAGTACATTTAAAAACCAACAAGTACAATCCTGTGAGCATCTGCTTCAGCTGTTTGGACGTTCTGCAAACTTCTTTCCTCCCCGGGTTTCTGCAAGTCTCTTTTTATTTGGATGTCGCTCATTTTTTTTAATACATCCCAGAGTTTTCTGTGCATACTGGACCTGTGCATGTATATGCCTGCATTTAGTGCTTTTGACTAATTTGAAAAGAATGCCGTTAAAACTGAGGGGAAGGGGAGGAGTGGTAGTTGGCGACGAGAGTGTGCCTTCATGTTGTGCGCACGTGCGTTTGGCTGTAGAAGTGTAGACTCAGGAGTTTAGGCGGGGGAGGTTTATTTGCCAAAGGCGAAGCGAGGAGGATGACTCTGCGTCCACGATAACTCCGAAAGCTGGCTTCCATCAGCAAATGTCCGACTCTCTTGGTATGCTTGAGGGGGGTGGATGGGTGTTGGAGGAAGGGTGGATGAAGTGAGGAGCAGGGGGGACTTTAATAGGTTTTCTGGATAATTCCTGGTGTAAGAAACAAGTCAGGTCATTACGAGGGTCATCAGCACCGATGGGATGGTTGGAGACGAAGGGGTAGTCAACGATGGTGAACACTGAGAAGAATGGAAAGGGAGGATGGAGGATATGAAGCTGTGTTTGTGATGGAGGTGGAGTCTCCTCTCTGTAAAGTAACAATTCAATATGTTTCTACCTAAATAAAATCATTCCATATAAAAGAGGTCTTTAAATAATCATGATGTAGCTCTACGTATGAGCAAAGAGAATAAATCTCTCAGCTATTAATCGACCCGGACTAAGACTCCTCTTGTGTCCCCGTGGACGCCACGGACAGCTTGGCTTTGTCTCGGCCTGCCGCCGCAAATTTGGTGTCATTGTTTTCAGACTCGTGCCTCCGGACGTGCATGGGAGAAGGGCTGTGCTTGGGTGTGCCAGACGAGTAGGGCACCTGTCCGTTCTTCTCGTCTGAAAAAAGTTGTTTAATTACGTCAAAGAAGCTACTCAATGGGCTGCCTAGGTACACAGACAGAAAGAAAAGAGAACAAAAAAGGGGGGAAGAGGAGAAAGAGAACAAACTAATGAACAATGGGTCTCACAGGATAAAGACGTGGAGAAATTTGTAGATGGAGCAAGCAGAGGAGGAGATGAGGACCGATGGGCAAGGCTTGAAAAAGCAAACAGCTTTGATGAAACTCCAATGAGTGATGCAAAGAATTGATGACAGTGATCTGCACTGAGTGAATCTAAAATTCATCAAGAAGAATAAAATAGGTTTCACGTATTGATGAGAGCTTCATGCAAATGTTTAAAAGACCAAGTTCACTTGTGTATTTTTATTTTTATTTCCCAACACATTTGCAGTCGTTTCTACTTTAAACCGATGCTTTGCAAGTCGACCTCTGGGCAAAAACGCTCTGGCGCTCCTGTTTCAGGAACTAGAAGTGAGCTAGAGGAGAGATGAGCAGAAAACAGCTGATTTTGAAATCTTATTTCCCGATATTCGAAGACCGTGCCTCTTGTTGGCTAACGGCATCAAAACTCTCCAATTTCATCTTTGAAAAGTTGATGTTTCATCTCCACAAATAACACAAGCCTGAAGGAGTTCTGCACTGTTATGGACTTGCTAATGCTAACAGTTAGCTTCCACTAGATGCCCTCCACTCTCTCCTGGATGCTAAATTAACAGCCTTTCTCGTCGCGAGCCGAGATGGGTGGGTCGATGAAAGCTAATTTAGCAATACGACGTCAAGCTTTCTTTAATCCGAGCATTCCCCCGTCTATTTTGTATTGACGTCTTAAGCGGGTAATATGGGTAGAAGACCATTTTCATGTTTAGCCTGCACGGTACAGTCAGGCTGTTTCAAAAGTAAGAAAAAAAAAACATTTCTCAGTGAACTTGGTCTTTAAACAACATAAAAACACAAAGAAAAATACACAACTGTGAACACAAAAGCTTTAAAATGGGGCATTAAAATATTCTGAAGATCTGGAGAGCGTTTACCCCGACTTCTTGAACCCCAGTAAGACTCAGTTGTTTCCTCAAAACATCACAAACTAAGTCCCTATTAAGGTCAGCACTAACTGGCCACTGTATTAGGTACTCCTGTTCAATTGCTTGCTTATGCTAAGAGTTTAATTACTTCAGAAAGGCAGTGCATTATTTATCTTTGTGCATGATAAACACACACACACACACACACACACACACACACACACACACACACACACACACACACACACACACACACACACACACACACACACACACACACACACACACACACACACACACACCTCTATAAACCAATATGGAAAAAATGATGATTTCCTCTATAATCATCAGAACAGCTGTTTGCCAAGGAGTCCTGCAGGCTGACAAATGAACAGCAAAAAATACTCGTTAAAAACCAGATGAGGTAACGTGCGTGCACGCACGCACGCACGCACACACACACACAGAACTATGCTGCCTACCAAAAATTTGCTAGACCTTAGAATCTGTTAAAAGAATGCCTCCAGCAGCCTGCGTACTAAAGAGAACATCATCCACAGAAAGCAGTAATTGTGTTTTTGTCGTTCTCTGTGTGAACGCAGACGTGTGTGAACTGTGCCACATTTGGTTTTGGCAACTGCATTATTCAGTTGGAAAATGATTACAGGTTCTGTCTCGTTTATATTCTACCTTTCTCATTTGTTCCCTCCTCTTCAACCTGCATGCTTTCACAAAGGAAGGAGACATGTTCTACTAAACAATGGTGTGTGATCATTAGAACACTATTTTCTAAGGAAACGGTCCCACAGTGTGTCTCAGAATGCTTTCCATGCTTTTTTCCTCTTGTTGATTGTCTTCCTAAGCTGGTCTCCGTGACAATACTGGTGACCATTGGTGACAATTATGAATAAGAATTGATTAAACCATGTGTCTGATGCACATTCATAAGCAAGGCTCTTTATCTTGTTAATTAAGGTCAAAGTTTTCTATCTTTACAGGCCTTCATCATCGACCTTAGGTCTCCTGCTTCATACGTTATACGGAAGTATCCCAGTTGTTTTCAAGGCCTACATTTGGAGGAAATAACTACTTTCTGCATGAGCTGATGTAGAGATCAAAGATCAAAAACCAATGAAAATGACGGGTGCTCCATAACTAAAATCTCTGAGTTGATTTCACTTTTACTCTCATTTTATTACGAAATACTCACGTTTAGAATGAGTAGGACATCAAATTAGCAGGAATAACACAAATGTATTGTGTCTGATCTTCCTGCAGGTTGTTGTAGCTTAAATTACCACTCGCATAGCTAGAGCAGGTGAAAGAGCTGCAGATAAGCTGCCTCCCTGTGATCCTACTCAGAAACAAATGTATTATGTATAATATGTTGCTTGCAAATGTGTGCAGTTAGAAGTATTAGAACGAGACTCCTAAGGTCTTGAATGATTTGACTTTGGACTAAGCATCTCTATCTGGGCATTCCTAGTTAAAAGCTTTCAAAAACATGGATGCTGTGTTCATTTAAAGATGGCAAACACTTGTTTTATTCAATTAATCTGCCGTAGTCTCTAGTATAACTTAATCACTTGCGAGTTGATCTCCATGGAAAAAAGCTCCAACACTCCCGTTTCAGGAAGTAGGAGTTAGTTGGAGAAGCAAGAGCAGAAAACAGCAGGATTTGGAGTCTTACTCATTAATATTAATGATATTCAAACATTTCACCTCTGATTGCCTAACAGCAACACAACTCTACCACCCCTCACTCTTTAATGCTGATGTTTAATCTCCACAACTAACAAGCCTGAAGGAGTTCTGCCATGTTGAGGAAACGCTAATGCTAACGGTTAGCTTCTATTAGGTGAGACACGCTCTGCTCTCTCCTGGCTGCAAAGATCAACACAGCCTTCTGTGCCACCTCTGCAGGAGCTGGACGCCACTCTGGCTCAGCCTTCTGTAGGTGAGTCCATAAAGGCTCATTTTCAGTGGGACGTAGATCTGTGTGGCTTTTTTTGACCATATTTGATCACTTAATTTTCTCATATAAAATAAATGTTTTTGAAAATTGTAACAACAGAAACACACTTTAGTTTTGGACTACAATAACACTCTGGGGTTGAAATTAAAAAAATACAATTAAATCACTTCACTGAGTGCTCTATAAAGGGTATAAATGAATAAAACTGATAAGACATGTCAGCGGGTCAAAAAGAAAAGATTTTAACAGTTGCTCATATCCGTTGTTGCTATTCTATTTCCTAAAGTGCTCTTAACTGCACTCTTGTAGTCCTTGTTGTGCAGACAGCCCACCACGAACCTGATGTTACTCAACACCATCTCACACCGCAGCGAGCTCAACGATATAAAGGATCAGGAATAACTGATGATTTACTGAAGCAGAGCAGTGATACCAGACTGTTAGGTTTCATGCAGGTGCCAAAGCATTCTGTTAATTTCAGAGAGGCTAAAACTGGATGAAGAGGAGGAGCAAAACCAGAACACAAGCTCGGGTCAAACGGATCATCACACAAAGACCTGAAGCTTTTTTATTAACCTGAACCTGACATGAGAATCTGTGAGTTTAAACATTTTTGAGATCAGAAAAAAATAAAAAACCATCTCACCCAGGCAACCTGAGATGTTTCCCCATGTGACCAGCAGATGGAGCTGTCACACAGAGAATGATCTGAGCCATGCATGGATTAAAACAGTAGTGACTCACAGGAGGGAACATGCAGAGAGCAGAAAGGGAGGAGTAGAATCTCCCTTTTCTCTTATCCTCACCTTCCAGACTGTGCACTTAAAGAACACACAGTTTAGACAGAACAGGCCTTAAACCTGCTCATGGGCTCTGCAGCGGCCCCGAATTTTGTTTAAAGGCTGTAAAAAAGATTTCAGCTTGTGTTTAGTAAATGTGATAAATGTTAACCGTCAGAAATGAGAAGAGCTTTGACTGTAGACACAAGCAGAGCATGGAGGCGGAAAACACTTATCAGGTGTGGTGCAACCTGGTGCATTCTGGGAGCGAGTGTGTTCGAGGTGCAGTGGTGTTGCCATAGCGACAGGCTTGAGCAAAGACCCTCGAAAGTGGGAGTAACAGAATGCGAATCAGGCCTAATCTAGCTCTACTTTAATCTTTACTGCCGGGGCAACAAGGCAACGTTTGACCCGCAGTCGGCGCTTGAGACCAGCTGCCGCCCCTTTCAAGTCGGCGAGGCGCGAGCATGCAAAGGAAGCCATCTGGAGAAGCACAGAGCGGCTCGGGGATTTCAAGCACAGCAAAGAGAAGGGCGAGATTTAGCTTAGCTTCAGCTGTGAGGGTAGTTCATCAAGACGTGGGATGGAGAGATGAGGCAGTAGGGGAATGGGTGGAGAAGTTTTGGGGGAAAGTTTTTTTTTATTCACTCACTAAATATTCTGATTAAAAAAAAGAATCATTACTCACCAGAGAGCTGTTGGACCCCGGGTTGATCATGTGTGCTTAACAACTGGCTCTGAATTGTCTCGATCACTCGCTTAAAACGCCGGCTCGGTCCTGCACACACACACACACACACACACACACACACACACACACACACACACACACACACACACACACACACACGTGTAAAATAATACACCAGTTATCAATGACACACCAAGTGGTTCCATAAGAGAAAAAAACAGATGGGATTTATACATTTGCAGCAGTTTTGTTCCATCAACTGAGTCAACACAAGTTTCCTCCCCAGAGTGGCATGCAGCCATCTTAAAAACACCTGCGACCAGATGAAATTTGCATTAGGATGAAGACAGCTGAGCATGCAGAAAAATACGTGATTGGAATATTCAGTAGAATAAAATGTAAAACTATAAAAATACAGGGGAAGACTTGAGTAGGGACATAAATCCAGAGCACAGAGAGCTGGAAAAATGAGGAAAATCTGAGGTTGTAACTAGCAGCCAGAAGGGTGTGAATGCTGGCTGTCTTCTAGGTAATGTTTATTACACCTCATTCAGCTAAATAAAACCTCCCTCTGCATGTGTGCAGGGGGTTGTTTAGTTTTTATTCCAGAGGGTTTTTCCTCATCTAGTGGAAGACTAAAGCTTGTTTTTAGGGCTAGAACAATATAAAGATGAGGCCAGAAGTGAGACGGTTGATTATATTTATGACTCACACTTACATGATGTGCTGTTTAAACTTTTCTAAGACCTATAAAGCTCAACTACAGCATGTGTCTCATTAAACATTTACATAAACATTTAGAAACAGTTAGTTTTTATTTAAATTTCCTCTTAAACACAATAAGTTCCTCAGAGTTCAGATTCGGGCTCAATCATTCCACAATAAAACCAAACAAATGACATTAAAAATCATCAATCATATATTTTCTTTAGCTCAGGGGTGCTCAATCCTGGTCCTGGGGGGCCGCTGGATACAGGCCCTCCAGGACCAGAACTGGGCACCCCTGCTCTAGAGGAATATGTAACCATATATGGTAAATGGCCTGTATTTAATATAGCACATTCTAACGTTCTACTACCCCCCCAAGGTGCTTTACAACGCATCCAGTCATTCACCCATCCACACACTGGTGGTGATGAGCTACAATGCAGCCACAGCTGCCCTGGAGCGCACTGACAGAGGCGAGGCTGCTGATCACAGGCTCCATTAGTCCCTCCAACCACCACCAGCAGACAACATGGGTAAAGTGTCTTGCCCACGGACGACGACTGCGACAGACTGAGTGGAGCTCGAACCTGCAACCTTCCAATTACGGTGCGGGCACTTAAACTCATCTGCCACTGTTAAGGTTGGTTTATGCTTGACGCATCCGCGAGGTCCGCACAGCTCCGCGCGGCGAAATTGCGTCATTTTAACAACCACGCCCCTCCACGGCCCAAAATGTCCGCACCGCGCACCTAGGAAATGTTCTAACCACGCGGACGGTCGGACGCAGAAAAACATGGCGGACTGGCAAGAACTGGTATGGCAGAGGTTCGTAAATACAGACATTTATATGATTCAGCTCTCAAAGATCACCGTGATCAACATGTTGTTAATAATTCTTAGAGAGAAATAGCTCGCACTGTTGAAAAAGACGAGGACGCTGTTAAAAAATGCTGGAATGCCATGTTGTAAACAACAGTTTTTACTTCTACTATGGTGTAGCGTTGGATGCATGCCGTAGAGCTCCATGCTGCCCCCTACAGTTTGGGAGAATATTGGCTCACCGCAGAGACAAGCCGCATGAACCATAAACGCTGCGAGTTGTGAAGCGCGTTCCATCCGCGAGCCGCATCGCCAAGCGGAAAGTGAATGCGTCAAGCATAAACCAAGCTTCAGCCTCCAATTTCCACCTGATGCAAGGTTGAAGAATCAGATGCTAGCCTCTACACAAGGAGCGAAGGGTTGCAGCGCCGCCAATAATAGTCAGGAGGAAATGGTAAATGGCCTGAATTTGCATAGCGCCTTTTAGAGTTCTACAACCCCCCAAGGTGCTTCACAACACACAATCAGGCGAGGTGGGTCAAGTGTCTTGCCCAAGGACACAACTGCAGCGTTATCTGGTGGGAGCTGGGATTGAACCTGCAACCTTCTGATTACTGGTCAACCCACTCTACCTCCTGAGCTACTGCTGCCCTGTGATGCAACAATAGCTGATATAACCTAACAGAGATCAGATTTCTAAATGCTTACTTTGAAACTTTTAGTCTGAAAGAGCAGCTTATTGTTGTTGCCGAGTGTGATGGTGTGATTATTGTAGCAACATGAGATATTTCATTGTTCATTTTCACTTGCCGTAGCCGACAGTTTCTAAACTGCACATTAAATTACAGCGTGGACGGGTTAAAAGTCATTTTTGCAACAGGATTATGTGTTAAAACAGTTAGAAACAAGAGTAATTGAGTTTAGGTTAGGACATGACGAAAAAAGAAAGCGCTCGTGTGTGTGTGTGTGTGTGTGTGTGTGTGTGTGTGTGTGTGTGTGTGTGTGTGTGTGTGTGTGTGTGTGTGTGAGCAGCATTGTTTGGGCATGAGTGGGAGAGACTAAAGATAGTGAAAGGAAGCATTCATGTGTTTCTGTACGGCTAAGCATTCACACTCGACAGCTCCATACGTAATCTGGCTTTACCAGACCTCCTTGTTTTGTTATGCTCAGGGAGGTGTGGAGAAAATCTTATCAAGCCTTCAGAATTGTTAGAATTTCAACAAATTCTCAGGCAATCTGTTCTTTATTTGCTTATTTGGGGGGGGGGGGGGGGCAGCAATTCGGAAAACACCCACCTCTAAAAGTGGCACTTGATTTGTTTGCTGGGAAGGAGCAACTTTTAATGCTATTACTCAAGTGTGACGGCATTCCCCTCGACGTGTTACTGGCATAAGGAGAAAAATCAGCTCCAAAAATACAAATGAAAGCCAAAAAACTTGACGCAAAATAACTTTTCTGCATGGATGTCTTGTGCAGTGCCTTCCACTTTTTTAAAACAACTTTTCTTTTTATAGTCTTGGACCGCTTGTTGATTATGGTTCTGTTGAGGCATTCTCACCTGAGAGCAGGGTAAAGGTGACAGAGTAGATGCCGTTCTCTTTTGTGGCGGCTGTGCTCTCCGTGTAGGTGATGTCCACCTGAAATCTGACCGGCTTCTGGAAGACTGTGGGGCCGGCTGTGGATTTGTACTCCGCCCGGAAACTGGTCTGAGAGATGACGCTGTGGCTCAAGCTGGGAATCTGGGAGAGAAGAAAGTTGGAGTCGGTATAGGAAAAAGGTGTCAAAGACCAAGATACGGGAGGAAAATTAGGCACCGGAGACACGCAGGTTATATATAAGCTACAATGATGTCATATTCTTCACCAAATTCTTATAAACGACAGTTAGAATGAGCCCTCATTAAAATACCCTCCACATACCGGGAGCCACAGCTGAAAGTCTAAGAAGATTAATGCCTCGGGGAGTAGCCATGTGTGCCAGAGAGACTTAAGCTAATATAATCTGGAGTCATCCAACAACACGGCACTCTGCCGCCTAAAATGAATTTGTATGCCCAATGAACAGGTGAGCTCTGAAATTGTCACGTTCTGCCACAGCGCTGAAGAGGGGTTGACGTTCCATTAATGTGAGTGCGCTCTGAGGTATAATTCTTCTGATTCAGGTGCCAATCTCCTGTCTGGAATCCCGGCTTGCGTAACCCAGAGGAGAAAATAGCTGCCTTCGGGGAAGGGGAAGCAGATCTGACTTTGACCTGCCCAGGCAGAGCTGCATTTACTGAGACTTTGTTAAATCTAACCAGGGTGACGATAGGTTCTGTTCAATTATGTACGTGTACTGAATGTTTGGTGCAAGTGGTTCTTCTGTGTTCACTGTTGTTGCATCTGTGTATCCATGCTGTTACAGCCCAGCAGGCAAAGATACAATCAACAATAATTCACATGCACAGCAAAATACACGCACATGCACGCACACACACGCACACTGAGATTGGTGTATTGAGAGAAAGACATCTATATGCTAATGGTCAGTGCTCTGTGTTGATTTTTCTATTGACCCCGAGTAAGTCTACATTTAAGGAGAGAATAGAAACGCTGAGTACAAGCAGTTTAGTGGACTGCTACATAAATCAGAGGAATGTTAGAATCAGAGGAACTAGCAGAGTCAACATCCAGCATCCAACACACAGACAGAGAAGAAGGGTCAAAAAGTAGAAGGGAGTAAATAAATATTAGGAGTGACACATAGATCAGGGCTATTCAGTTCCGGGCCTGATGGGCCGGTAACCAGCAAGTTTTGGTGGTTTCTCTGGTCCAACACACTTGATTCAGTGGTTGAATCGCCTGTGCAGCAGCTCTTTAGGCTCTGCAGAAGCCTGGTAATCACATACTAACGGAAATCAGGTGTGTTGAAACAGGGTTAAAACCAAAACATGCTGGATACTGGCCCTAGAGGCCCGGTATTGAATGGCCTTGACAGATTGTTGCAAAAAGGTATTAAAAGACAGAAGCAGCAAACCTTTGAGACAATTAAAGGGATACTAGGCAGTTTTGCTTGCTTTTAGCACCCCCTAGTGTCTATCATTAATTATCTGTGGTCAAAGCAAAGGTGAAACTCATCTCCTTGCTGTGCGTTTGTCTTTTTTACACCTTAATCTAACGGAAATGTCTCTCCAGCCTTCATTAGTTTCTACAGGAGTGGTTCATCTCTAAATCATACAATCCAGCTGTGTTCGTGATCTAAAACATGCAGAAAACAGGCTGGAAGCAGACTCCAACTCTATCATGTAAGCTCCACTCCAATCCACAGGTCCCTCCACCAGCAGGGACCAGACCTCAGCAACTCTGAAGTTGCAACTGCAGTACTCTGGCCACAAAGGGCGGTAGGGGTCTGAGTGGCATTTCAGCAACCCTGTAAAGCAGGGGTGGGCGATCCTGGTCCTCGAGGTGCCACTTTCCAGCCTGTTTTAGTAGTTTTCCTGTTCCAACATGCCCGATTCCTGGAAGAATCACCTGTTCAGCAGTTCATCAGGCTCTGCAGCAACAGATTCAAACCAGGCGTTTAAGCAGAGAAACAACTAAAACCTGCTGGATAGCGGCCCTCGAGGACCAGGACTGCCCACCCATGCTGTAAAGGGTTATTTTAGCACATACTGGCTCAAGAAAATGATTGCATAGTATCCCTTTAATACATCGATTGTTCTCAAAATGTTTGGATATGTCTGTCCAAAGTTTGCTGCCTCAAGCCTAATTTCACCAAAGGATTCTGAGTCAATCACAAGAGCTATTTAGATTTTGGCACCTTGATCTAATTTTCTGAGCTCATACAAAGAGACACTTATAACTGATTCTGCACTGGCACACTTTCCCCACATTTAAATGAGGTATTGTACGTGCGTTTAGAGGAAAAACTGCTCATGTTTATATAAATTCCTGCAAAAAAGCATCTCAAATAATAACCCATCTCTTATTTATTAGATGCGATTCCTCGCCGCAGAGGGAGACCTGTGTCCTTCAGCCATTAGGACCTGCGGCTCACCTACAGAGACACTTTTCTCAGTCACTTTTCTTCCTGCTGTGATTGTGACAGAATTCCATCACCCAGGGAGAACAACGGCAAACAGATGCTAGACAAGTGCCGATTCAAACACACCCACAAACCTGCTGAGCTCTATGTGTGTTTGCATCAGCATTTAATTAAGATTATCCGCTTGTGATTTTGACATTGAGAAAAGTCGACAGCAGGTATCCTTTACAAAACAGGCTTTGTGCAATCTTAGTGAATCTGCCTGTCAATGTTTTCTTATTAGTGACAAATAATATTTGCGTCATCCTCCAACCTGTCGGTCGCTACGGTAATGTCAGGATCAGACGAAAAGCGGGATAAAAAGTTTACCGAGAGGAACGCTTGAACAATGTCTGCCTTGATGGAGCTGAGAGGCTTGTCTCTGATGACGATAAAGATCTGCTCCTCTTTCTCCAGGTTGATGAAGTTACCAAACCAGGATTTTTTGGCAAGTCTGTGAAAAAAGACAAGAAAAAGAAAGGTTTGTTTATCATCTACTAGCAAGCATTCATGAAATAGGTGCTTCCCTGTCTTAAACACTCATCCGTCTATCGACTCTTCCAGAATTAATGGATAACAGATAAAACTCTCCTCATAGCCTCCATTTAAAAGCCCAGAGGGAACAGAAAGGAGCAGACTTATGACACCATGAGGAAAACCACTGAAACTATTTAAAGGCCTGATTTTGAGAATACTTTCTGCACAGTTCCAGATACGTTGTCTTTTCAAAACGCATGTTTCAGCAGTGAGGTGTCTCATGCAATTAATTCCAATCTATCAATTCCTCCTGTGCAACAGCAATTAAAAATGCATTAGAAAACAAGACGGGGAAGCATATCTACAAGGAGACCCACGCAGGGAGCCGTAGAGCAGATAAATATGCTGTCAGCTGCGGGCATCGTCTCATTCAGTTTTTGGATATCAAACGATTCCACTAATCTAAAACCATTTGCAAACCAACAAATTTGAATACAACCGTGGTTCACTTAGAAGTGAACTGAAGACGGAAAAACAACCAAAGATAAAAATAAAAAATTAGCATTTTACCTGCAGAGCAAAACACTTGAGATCGTCCTTACAGAGTCAAAGCTGCCCTAAAAGTCATTTAGTTTGTCAATGACACTCCTGCTGCATGATTACACGTATGAAGATCAACGTCTGAAAAGAGCTGACATTCAGGATTTTTTGATGAAACTCACCAAACGACTAAACTATACGGACTGCATGTACTGATCTTTTGCGTTACTGAAGAAACAACCCAGAGCATACACTCGTTTGGTATAAAACCTGTTTCTTTTAAACATTTTCTACAACCTTATGAACTACATAGAGTGCATCATATTTTACATCTTCCCTTTAAGTTCCTTCCACTGAGCTGGGGGGGGGGGGGGGGGGGGGGGAGGAAACATGCATGTTGAAGTTGATTAGAACTGGAAAATGCTTTTACTTTTCTTCACCGATTTTTCATTTTTAGATGAAAAAAGCTAAATATGTTGTGGAAAAAATGTTAAAATCCTGTTAAACGTCGGAACGAGGTTCAAATATGAGGTTTAATTGATTATGTCAGTAGTAATTTAAGAAGATAAAAGAACTGTGTGAAAAACTAACATGACCTCATAAATCTGCAGCTTTTATTTGAAATGACCTGAAGAAACTGTCTACTGTAGGACCGCTCTCTCATCATTATGGTGGGATTTTGGTTCACTTCTCATTACTGTCTTTCTGCAAGTCGTTTGGCTTTTCAGGTTTTCCTTTGTGTGAATCTGCGATTCCATTTTCCTATTGGATTAAGGATTTGAGTTATTCGGTTTTGTAAGACCTTCTTTTTTTTTTTGTCTGGTGACCTTAGGATCTTTGTTCAGTTCCGTGACCTCAACGGCCAAGCTTCAGCTGTCAAACAGTTCAACTCTGTAAATGTAAGGTGACCGTCTGCCACAGAGACAGTTGGTATTTGTGTTGATGTGAGTGTTTAGTTCCTAATTTTGACAAACACTTCCAAACACTTTTCTATAATGATTATGTTCTTGAGCTAAATTGTGCCAAATCATCTGGTAAAGATTGTTTTAGATGAAAGGGGAATTTCTCTGCTTGCTGTACAAACTCTCTATTTTTTCCATTATTAGCTTTACAAACCACAGTTAACTTTGAAATGATGAAGTCCAAGCTGTAGCTCTTGCATTTTATGTAAACACTGTAACCAGAACATCCAGGGATGTCCACTCCTGCAAACATCTGTAACATCCTTGAACCTCGACATCAGAGACACCTCCAGAAAATGTTGATAGGTGTGGCCAGATGGGACCAAAGAAATTTTTGGGGTGGCACACCAAATTGGTCCTTGTGGTAACTCTGGGAGAGTTTAGCCTGTGGCGATGTACTGCATTGCTCCTTTATGAATTTTTATTTAAAACAAAACAAAAAAAAAAAAAACAATATATCTAGAACATTTAACTTAAATTTTACAAACACAAACATTTCAGAAATATACATTTCAGTTATTAAAATTTTATTCCAAATTTAAAATGGGAACAAAAAATGTTTAAATGGTGAGCAGCAGGGATCGGACCCATGTTAAGCATAATTCTGCGCACATGAAGACGCATAAGAGACCTGGATGATGAAGCTCAATGGTTAAAGGAATCACTGAAGCGGTGTGAAGCGCTCCGTCGCGCGTCTAGATGGTACCGTAGGAGGCGAGCTGCCATGGTTCGCCGCATGCTACAGCAGCGGGCTATCTAGGTGCGCACAGCGTCCCCCGGTCCCCTCCTCCTCCCCCTCCTCCCTGTCCGTAACTCGACCTCACCAGTCTGAAGCAGCCACCCTGTCCGTAACAAGTCCGGACCTGTTACTAGGGGCTTCGTCCGGTTTAATTACGGAAAACGTTATCCGGATGTTTGTATTCAGACACAAAGGTCTTACGGACAGAGTCCGGAACATTTCCGTTTTTCATGGCCTGTCTGAAGGGGGCTTATGTGAAATATGAAAAACCAACTTTGAACAGAGGGGGTGGCCCAGGCAATTAAACCAAACTCACACCTTGTGACCAAAACAGCACACACGATGCCTTTGTTAGAGATCTGTTTGGATCGTCAGCACAAACGACACAAACAGGGACTCATACGGCCTTAATGGCCTCATTAGTAACAACAATGTCCTCACCAGCAACTCCTATTGCCCTATCAGCATGTTTGTTTAATCCCACACCTTATAAGCCTCCAATCCTGAGTTTCAGAACTGATGAAGCTTTTTGGATGAGATACGAAATGCCTCGAAAGAAAACAAGAACATTCTAATTGTTTTGTGACTAAACCTTCCCGATTTCCATAAATGACTGAAAATCTACACAAACGTAACATCCTTGAACATTTTCACTCTGCGTTTAGGTTAATATTTTAGTATAAATCTGTTTAACACATTAATAGCTCTCTTACACATCAACACCCAATGCCACCGTGTGTCTTTGACGCAGGTAGAACAGTTTTTACTCCGCTTTCCAACTCTTTGCAGCCAACACATTCTTTCCTGGCAGGTGGAAATGACCGAGCCATGCAGCAACAAGCCAACCAAACAGGCATATCTAGGCCAGCCTCGAGTAATCAGGCCCACGGGAGTTTGGTAACTTCACACAAGATGCCTCTCCACAACCATCTCCACCGCCCTCCACCTCAACCCCTCACATCCCGCCACCTCCTGCTAACATGCATCATCTCCGATCCAGATGGGACCTGAGGTCATTACAGGGAACTCAGCAGGCAAAAATTAAACATTCATACATGCTAGAATTTCCAAATCGTGTTATGGAGAGCGAGCCAGTTTAAGTCTGTTACAGGAGGGCTCACAGGTGGTGCAGAGTTACGTTTGTGGCGGTCCCTTAGAGAGATGAAAGCTACTCACTCAGGGGAAGACTCTGGTGTAAGGCTGGACATCTCTTCTTGTGTAGGAACTGCGGAAACAGAGTTGGTTCAGACTAACATGAAAGTTTAAGACAGAGAAAGTCAGAAAGTATTTTAAACTGAAGTGTTAAAGAGGAACTAGGCAGTTTTGGCTTGTTTTTATCACCCCAGAGTCCGTTTGAAGAACCGCGGTGTGTTGGTCTTTTTAACACCTTAATCTAACAGCTGAAATGTCTCCCCAGCCTTCCTTAGTGTCTTCAAGAGCGATTCAACACTAAATTAAACAAATCAGCTGTGGTCATGATCCAAAACATGCTGGAAGCAGACTGCAGCACCAGGTTTGTCAACTCAATTTTTCCAACAGGTGGCGGCCCACCAGTCTGAAGTTGCAAATGCGGAATTCTGGCCACAGGAGGCAAAAGGGGCTGTGTGGCCTTTCATTAACACCGTAAACGGTCATTTTAGAACATACTGGCTCTAGAAAATTATTTAAAAATGAAAAAGTTGCAAGGTATCCCTTTAGGTCAAGGGTAACATGAAAATAATGCATTCACAAATGAGGTCATGTCAGTACCTTGGAGTTTCCTGCGGTGGAAGCGTGGTGAACCAAGGAAGCTGTTCTTGATGGAGTTGAGACGCGTCCTCCATGGCATGCCTCCGATGGACGGGCTTGGTGGTGGCGTGGGAGTTGGAGTCCCAGAAGGGCTATCCTTTGGAGTGTGCACTGGTGTGCCTTTTGGGGTAGGGAGGGGACTGCCTCGAGGGGAAGGGTGAGGGGTAACCTGTATGAGGGGGATAGATTTGGGCGGGTGGTCAGTAAAAGGAGAAGGAAAGGGCACCACAGGGTGAAAGTGGTGAAGCCGGATGGGCGACAGCGGTGCAATTGGACCAAAGGGCACAGACAGCTGGGGGTTGGCAGCATAGTGGGAACGGCGTACCTGGGGGCTGTTCGGGATGGGGGAACAGGAGATGGGTGAGAAAGGAAAGGGGGATGGGGAGGAAGGAGAAGTAGGAGTAGGAGGCACAGAGGCAGAGGGTGGGTGTGATGGAGGTTGGCAGGGAGTGGAGGGTTCTGATTTGGCTGCAGGAAGTGGATCAGAGGAAGTTTCAGGCAGAGGATTTGATCGTGTTGCTTGTAGAGGCTTTGGAGTAACTTTGGGCTTGGTGGGGAGTGTTTGCGTCTTGTTGAGCGCTCCTGGCAGGAGCTCACTGTTTGGAGCAAGTGAGTTGGGGGTGGAGATACGTGTGCCTGTGCGATTTGGAAGAGGTTCAGGGGATGGACAGGGGCTGGCGTTAGGGGACTCAGTCAAGTCAGGGGACTGAGGTGGCACACAAAACTTTCTGATAGGCTGAATTCAAGACGGGGAACGGTGAAGCATAATACAGCCAGGAGCAAGAGCAGGTGGATGAGTAAATTAATATGAAGCACATGGGGACAACAAACACGCACACACGCACAAATTAAAACACAAAAATAGAAGCGCCCGAAGAGTGTACATAAGGAAGAGGAGTGTATACAAGGAGGGGAAAATGGAGGGATTGTAAGACAAAACAGAAAATAATCATGACATAAGCCATTCATATCAAACAAAGACTAAATTAAATTGAAACGAGAGAAAATAAACAGCAAGCAACGTGAACAATGTCAGAAAAGCTTAAACAAGAGATAAAAATGGACTTTACTCGCATAAAACATACAGGGATCTGAGAGAAAAACAAGCAAACAGATAGATGCAGGAGACAAGGACCGCTGTGAACACAATTTGGGCCGACAATAACAAGAGCAAAGGTAGCATCTCCGCTCGGAAATTTCTGGTGTTCTGATAGCTTTATTGATCTGTTTGACTTGCAATGCTGAAACTAAAGAAACTACTTCACCATTTGCCTTAGAAACCATCCCACTTTTCCAGAAATAACCCCACACAGTGCCTCCCTGCAGAGAGCACAATCTGGGGTTTTTGGTACTTCTGAGAAATCAATTTCCCTTTCAGATAAGCCTCAAAGAACCTGCGTGGTGTAGGGAGTTTGTCTTAGGATTGCGGATAATCTTGAGCCTTCTCGAGCTAGTCAACTGGAAAAGTTTACCACATGCTTCCCCAGCTCTGAGCAAAGGAGAGTGGAGTTTTCTGAAGCATTTCCTGATCTGGATTTCTGCAGAGCTCCGGCTACAGAAACAGAAGCTGGGATAATAAGTGTGGAGGATTGAAAAGACAGAAGAAGCTACAGTCTTGGAGAAAGTTTATTGTATTGTCTCCTTCCCAGAGCATGTTTATATATATATTTTTTGGGGAAATATGAAAAATGCATAGACAAACAAAGAAAAGTCCACATTTGTCACTGGGTTTGAAGCATAATTATAGTAGATGCAAAATAATTTAAAACACAATGAAAGATCAGGACTTAAAAGCTGCAGAGGGCTTTATAATGTGGCATAATTTATTCTTGTGGATACAAACAGCTATAAGTCAGGCTCAGGAATAGTTGGATGGCCATTAAGCAATAAAAATGTGTTACAGAATATGTGAGTGTGTCTGAGCCTTTGGACTTACCCGTGGGCTGCTAAGAGGGCTGGTGGAGAGGCCTGAAGAGGCTCCACTAATAGACCGCGACCTGTGGCACAAACAAATAACACACAAAGGGACAGTGGGGACTTGGTAAGATCAGCCTGCAGCCTGTTACAACTTTTCACAAAACACAGGTGGAAGTGAGAGATTGGTTTGCTCATTCATTTATTCATCTGAAAGCACAGAAGCATGTCATACCTTAGCAGATCTAGTATCTAGCTTCATGCAAGCACAGCGTCTGTTTATAGAAAAGAGGATAAATGCACTACAGCACAGTAACAGCAGCACGGCACTGACAATCCACATTACTAAGATCGACTCCCACCAATTAGTCTCACACCACTTATGCTTCGGGTTCAAATATATCGATCTGTCTAATCCATAGACGACGTTGCACAGGCTACCATTCAAACCAGCTCCCTTTACCATCTGCAGACTGTTAATAAACCAAACATTTTGAGATTTTTGTGCCTTTAGGCATGGAAAATATCTGGAGCGGGAGAATAAAGAGGAACATTTGGTTGAGTGCCATTTGTCATGTTTGTCATTTCCCTCACAGATGCCGTCAATAACCCCAATGAGCGGAGTCCTGCTCAGAAATGAACAATCACAGCCCAATCTGTCTCCGTCAAACACACACACACACACACACACACACACACACACACACACACACACACACACACACACACACACACACACACACACACACACACACACACACACACCTATCAACACTTGGAAATACCAGCTGCTCATTGTCACAACATTGTCCCATTTTTGTCATTCAGTCTAAAAATCCACCCTCCTCCTTTTCTTTACCACTTTCCCTCCAGATCTCTGTCCTAACGCATTACAAGCACACGGATCAGGTTTTTTTTGTTTCTATTAGAGACGCTCGATATTGGCTTTTTTACCGATAACTGATATCCAATATCGCCTAACTCCTATCCTCCGATATTGATGTAAACCAATACCAGCATATACGGACCCCCCTAGTAAAATAGTCTTTAAAAATGCGTGCTTAAGCTTTGAACATTATCCGTACTTCCATTTGCCCCGTAAGTCGATAATAAAAAAGCAGCTGAATGACATTCTCCCTGAGATAATTCTGCCAAACGCTCTGCGACGCCTTTAGGCAAAGATAATTATTAAGTTCATGATGGAAATAAGTTTGGTTGATAAGGTCATAAAACAAGTGAATTCATGATTCAAAAGGTTCAAATGTTTTAGGTTCTGAAAACAGATCAAAGCGAGACTTCGCGGTTACAATCTTTCTTGTGTTGTCTGTGCGAAACGTTACGGTGACAAAACATTTATAAAGATCTTCATTTAGGAAAAGCAAACCTTCAGTAAACATTCCCGTGCTTGTTTTAGTTGTTGCTAGCTGGTAAGCTACACATGGCTACACGCCCAAGGACAGCAGATCCTGTATACAGGCAAAGTCAAAATTATTCACAAGTTGTGCCAAATTAAACCAAAATATCTCATAAACTAAACCTCAGATCTGTCATACTTTGCAGAAGAGTTTGATGTATAATATGTGCATGTTATGTTAAGGTTGGATCACTAAAGGAGTGAAAACTGATAATGATATTTTCTGATATTTCTAATATCGGCCGATAATATCGGACATAATAATAATAATAATAATACATTTTATTTCAACAGCGCCTTTCTCGACACTTAAGGACACTTTACAGACAGAGATAAAATACAAACAATAAAAGATAGAACATCATAAAACAAACCGACAGATTGGAGCAAAGAGAGTAACTACTGGAATGCTAGACGGAACAGGTGAGTTTTGAGTCTGGTTTTAAAGAGAGTGAG